GGCACACCACCCCCAGCACCTACACTTCCACACTAGTATTTCAGTATTCCTAAGCATCTAAGGAGCTTTGGTAGCGTAGTGGTTACGAATCGGGCTGCGAACCTTAAGGCCAGCAGTTTGAAACTACCAGCTGTTCCGCGGGAGAAAGATGAGGTGTTCTGTTCCCGTAAAGATTTACCGCCTAGGAAACCCTGTACAGGGTCGCCATGAGTCGGAACCGACTCGATGGCACATAACAACAAAGCATCTGCCTAGATTATCAGGAAGGGACCTACTTGAAATCAATGCTTTTATCTTCTTATGCGGGCTCCCTGGCTTGTATTGAAAGCTCATCAGGAAGTTGTGCATCTAATTGCTGTTACACAGTTTGAGGAATCCTGGCCCTCTCAGCCAGACACGTGAAGAGCAGTACCTTTATAGATGGAGGATTTATAAATGAGCACAATTTCAGGCACGTCTCTCTTCCTCTGTGTACTTCTCTTCATTTCTTCAAGTGATTCATGCGTGGCAGGAGAAACCTATGGTGTATTTGAGTAAAATGTATGTTTTAAATTGTTCTGCCTTTGCCGCCTATTTCAACCAAGCACACTGAGAAATCGGGTTATGAAGTCAGAGTCCACACATCTCAGATACTCTCAGCGAGATCCCTCCGCCAGAGCAGGAAGAGAAAAAACGGCTGCAGCATCTTTATGTTTTCTTTACCATTGCTTTAATGTGTTTTTAAATGGTATCTACATTAATTGGGAACAAAGAAACAAAAATAGACATTTCTTTGTTTTTCATAAATAGCTAATCTCCATATTTGATAAAAATCTCAAACCAGTATTTTACTTTTCCACAAATATAATACATACAAAAATTTCCCAAAGTAATGTCAGCAAATAAAGTAGTTTGAGACTAACATAATCACACACAATTGCTACTCTACTGACTTCCAGGAACAGAACAAAAACAAAAACTTCTGACCAAGCGGCTCTAGGTTTCCTTCTGTTCATGTCATGGATTCAAAATTATAATCACCTGCCAATAATAATTTATAGATTCAAGTTGATTGTCTCTAAATATGGTATTGCCGGCTCTGATCCATGAGTTCTCGATTTGACAGGACAGTTGACTACACTGCAAGGGATTAGGCACTACGACTAGCCTATTAACTTGAAATCATAACAGTTAGTGAATGCCCCGGATTCCAATGACTGACTCGGTATGTGCCTCATTTGGCTCAGTAATAAATTCACCTGCACCAAACCCGTATCAAAAGTCACTAAATCTCTTATATATAATATATATTATGTATATATACACCCACAGAACATACATACTGTACATATAGTTTGTGTAACACCATGAAGTAATATTGTCTTGTAAAAAATGTACCATCCACATTATCCTGGGTGAAATCCTGCCACGGTCATCAAGCTGCTAGCAGCTTTTGAGACTACAGTCAGGTTCCGTATTTACTCACATCCTGCAAATCCTTCACTGTATCTTAAATTCTTGGTAGCTTTTGCTTTCAGGACTACCCTCCTCAACCCAGACATCTTTCCTTGATTCGACTTTGGAGGCAATAAAGTAAAGGAAAAGGGAGCAGGCAATTCTTAGCTACTATACCTCACACCTGCCTAGGCTTGTGATGTTCTCCATCCTGTTTGCCACATTCTGTGTTAGAAAGCAGTTATTCAAAGCTTTGCCCTTCCTACTCCCCTTGGGCTTTCTGTAGAACACAAAAGTGAAAAAAGCCTCTTTAGCAGGGGTAGCAGTTCATTAAAAGATACAACTACATTTCCTAGCTCTCGGGTTCCCAGTCTGTACTTAAGAGTGCTGTCATTAAGGTTTGGTGTGGGATCCATGAGGTTTGCTCTTTGCAGCAGGTGTTAAAGATTAGGGCAATCCTGGCGCAGGAGGAAACAACCTAACGAATACCAACTTTAATGCAGTGCTGCTGGCACATTATGTAAGGTTGTACATTTGCACAATGACACAACACATACACACACACACAAGCTCTGGTCACTGAAAATGGTCACATCATGAAAATACGACAAGGGTTTGAAAGTATAAGGCACCAAGAAAAACGACTTTAGCCAATTTAAACAATCTCAGATGGTGAAGAGGGCTTCCTACCTAAAATCTGGTCAATTCATTAGCTCCTTCAGACAACCTTCTGTGGGAATCCTCACTCCTCATCTAAGAGGGAATTTGCTTTGTGAAAGGGACAGCCCTTACTACACATAGGACAAAAAGTGGGTCCTACCTCTCCAACTTTGCAAAGCCAGTTCTGAAGAAGTTGTTAAGCTACTCCTCAACCTTTCATTTTACAGTTGTTTTTAGAAAGACTGCTTTCCTAATTAAAAATGCAAAACTGGGAAATAGTGCTTAGGATGGAAACAATGGAGACCTTACAGATTTAAAATGGCTTCACTCCCCTGGGCAGACAAGGGAGAGGGAAGGAGCAAGCAATTCTTAGCTACTATACCTCACACTTGCCTAGGTTTGTGCCTAGGCTTTTAGGAAAGCAGGTAGGCTTTAATCTTTGTCTTTTAGGATCTGAGAGAAGGGTGAAAAGGGGCAGGGATGAGAAAAGAGATGGAAAACAAAGAGGCACAGTTGGTCTGGAGCAAGGACCAGTTACCCAAGAGGTGAGACCTTAGCATCCTTTGTTTCAATTGTGTTCCTTTTTAAGGGTATCAGGTTTGGCACATTGCTAAAATTTAAATTTAAAAAATTTTAAATGAAGAATTAAACTATTTTTGTCCACATCATCTCACAACTTTAGATACACTGTGCTTGGCTCCTAGATTTCTCCAAACCCGTATCAAATATAGAAAAGGAATGAAGGAGGGACAGCTCAAATTGGGCACAGATGAAGAAAGTTGCAGATCAATCAATGTACTCTGTGGGAAGACAGGATAAATGTGGAAAGAAATCAAGGTGATCAGAAGTGATCCTCATTTGAAAAGACAGAATTGCCCCTCACCCCAGGATCTATTGTAAGGATCAGGAAGAAGCCTCTGAATAATTAGAATAAGAAACGCAGAAAGTTGTGTAGCTGTGTGTATTAGGTTTTGTGGAAACGACTGAAATTTTAATTTTGAACCAGAGGAAGGATAAAACTATGAAAGCATTGTTTTTATACATGTGAACAGGTTTTGAGAGCCCTTAGAATTGTTAAACCAGCTTTCTCCTCATCAGTAAAATGTTTACATTCCCAATGGGAACTATGCATGTTTGTTGTTACTGTTAAGTGCCAAAGGGTGACCCTGTCTAGGGTTTCTGAGGAGCAGTTGGTGGGTTTGAACCACCGACCTTGCAGTACAAACTGATCTTGTGTTCTGGTGCATTATCCTGCAGAACCTTAACAGGACAAATTCCCATGAAGTAAATATCGATCTGGACGTAAATTTCTCTTTGCCAAGTTTGGTAGAAATGACATGTAAATGGCTAGGTGCCCATTGTCCTAGGAGGTATTCTCAAATTCTAATTGCTCTGGCCAATTTAACTCCTTAAATTTAGCCCTCACTCATTCCTGGTCACAAAATCACTCTGGTATGTTGCTGGCCCATGCACCCTCACCCTTTCCCCCAGCAAAGGCCTCCCATTCTTCATGAATGAATGGGGAAACACATTAGGAAAACAAACAGAATTTTCTAGCAGCAAAGAGACCTCTGTGTGTGTTCATCAATATATAAGCTTTCATATATGAATGCAGGGATGGTTAACAGATTAGGAATGCAAATATAAGAGCAGCTAAGAGATGTGTGTGTGTATGGCCAGTATGCAGGCTTGCTTTCAGAGGAAAAGAAAAATGTATTGAGTTGGGAGGGGCAGGGAATGGAAGCTTTCCTCTTGAGCTGAAACATAAGAAAAAATGAAAGCTTGTGCAAGAGTTCTGCATCTCACTTGTTTTCAGAGATTACAGGGAGCAATGTCTTGCTGCTTTTGAAATGTCTGACTAGAATCTAGTCCAAAGTCCAGGGACACTCAACTTCCCCCATGACTGCCAGTGTTTGTTCACAGGTAAGGAGCTGCCTGCCCGCTCTCCCTCCCCTAGTCTCAGTTCAAGGCCCTCCTTCCAAAGTGGGTGTGGTTTCTTTTGACTGCTCTCCAGGAAAGTGGGAATAAGAAAAGGAAAATGACTGTTTAACATGATAAAGGAGGTGAGGAGGGGGTGGAGCAGATAAGAGAAGTGTTGAAAATTTACTTTAATTACTGGGTTATATCCATTTAAATCTTCACATCTAAAAAGGAGGTCGATCGTGAGCAACTATATCACAAAATATTTCCAGAAGTAGGGAGTGGGTTTACTTTTACCAAAAGTCTAACACAAGTTTCCTTTTGAAAACAACAACAAAAACATGTTGTTAAGTGCCATGCTGTTAAAGTTGGTTCTTGTAGCCGGTTTCTTAGGAGCGGCTGCTGAGTTTGAACCCCCAAGTGTGCGGTGAAAACCGACTTTGCAGTCCAGCGCATTAACCCACCGTGTCACACCAAGGCTCCAACAAAAATTACAGGGATCTCTTAAGATTAAGATTTATAAGAGCCACCCATTCCTTTCTGGCACAAAACTGCCGTCTTCCCAGTCTAGAATTCAATCTCAACCAGACTCTTTCCTTTAGGTTCTCACTGTTCCAAATGTTTATACCAGACCTTCTCCAGTGCTACCTTTAACCTATGGGAAACACAGCGCTGGTATGATGACAAGCACTCCAGAACAGAAACTGAAGCACGATAAACAAAGCTCAGGACTAACACAAAATCGCTAGAGACTCCCTAACCTTGCCACTCTAGGGAGGCCCTCTTTGTTAATTTCGGAACAATAAACAGAAGCAGTTCACCCAAGAGCATCTTGGGCACTTTAAGCAGTGGAAGGAGAAACTAGCTGAAAAAGCACATCCAACAACTTTCCAGTCATAGCAACCCAAACGTTCACCGTTCACATTTAAAAAACAAAACACGTAGATTTTCCCAATTTAGACCACATAGTTCAAAGAAACCCAACCACAGGACTGTAAAGCCCTCAATGCAAAGGTAAATTGTGTTGCCAAAATGCAACAAAGTTTAAAAAAAAATTAGGCAAAATACATATAAATTAAACACAAGTTTCCCCTAAAGAAGGCGATAAGGAACACAAAACAGAATACACGTGAGCTGAGCCCCTTTGAGAAGTCCTGGACAGGTACACCCTTGAAACTGCCCCCCTCTCTCTTAAGTTTTGCCCCAAGAGGTGGCGTCAGCACCATTAAAGTAAACGGAAGTGACCTTGGCAAAGCTACCAAACAAAACAATGCCCTCCCTCGCCCCAGTCCTTCTGCCGCATCCTCCTACACGTGGGACAGAGACACTTGCTTGTGGTAGGCGGCGGCGGGGCCTGGTGGCCCAGTCCTGCTCGTGAGCGCCGCGCTCGCCTCGGCGTAGTCCCCCGCGGCCGTGGCGCCGCCGCTCTTATGGCCCCTGCGCGGCCGGCAGCAACATCGGCTGGTGAAGCGCCGCCAAGACTCCACAGTCTTGCCGGACCAGATCCACACGCCCGACGTGATGCCTACCACCAGGCACATGAAGTACTTGAGCATGAGCACCCAATACTCGGGCTTGGCCCGTGGCTGGCCAGCATCGGGAGCTGGGCACGCGCAGGTGAGGGCTGCCTCCCAGCTCTCGCGGTAGTGCTGCTCATACAGGTAGCAGGCCACCACGATGCTGGCGGGCACTGTGTAGAGCAGCGTGAAGATGCCGATGCGGATCATGAGCTTCTCTAGTTTGTCCGTCTTGGTGCCGCCCTGCTTGATGACGCTACGGATGCGGAAGAGCGATACAAAGCCTGCCAGGAGGAAGAGCGTGCCCACGAGCAGGTACAGGACCAGCGGACCTAGAACGAAGCCGCGTAGAGAGTTCAGATTTTGGTTGCCCACATAGCAGATGCCGGCCACTGGGTCCCCGTCCACAGAACTGAGTGCCAGTGCTGTGATGGACTTGACACTAGGGATGAGCCACGCGGCCAGGTGGAAGTACTGTGCATAGCCCGCGATGGCCTCATTACCCCACTTCATGCCAGCTGCCAGGAACCAGGTAAGTGACAAGATGACCCACCAGATGGAGCTGGCCATGCCGAAGAAGTAGACGAGCAGGAAGACTACGGTGCAGAGGGCCGGTCCCGTTGTCTCGTAGTGGATGTGGCTGTGCTCGCGACTGCAGGCGACACTGGCATGGCCCACGACCAGGCGTACCAGAAAGCCCAGCGACACGCACAGGTAGCAGGCTGACAGGAAGATGATAGGGCGCTCTGGGTAGCGGAAGCGCTCCATGTCAATAAGGAAGGTGGCCACCGTGGTGGAAGTGGAGATGAAGCACAACACGGACCACAGACCAATCCAGAAGGTGGCGAACGTGCGCTCGTCAGGACTGAAGGACGGCTGATAACAAGGCACTGCGCAGTTGGGCACCTGGCCAGTCCGCACTTTGTTGTACAGCGGGTGCGACTCCTTCAGGATAGGCACGAAGGGTTCACGGCATTTGCACAACGACGGGCCCCCGGCGGCGCATTCACCCCCTGAGGCAGGCGCCCCTGGCGGGCCCGGGCGAGTAGGCTTAACTGGGAAGGGCTTGGGGGGCGCTGTGGTGGCCTCACTGCGGTTGTAATCCATGCACAGGACCTCGGCATCGCGGCCCAGCACCGGTAAGCGGTCACAGCTCATGCGTTCCGGCCAGGCGAAACCGTACTGACGCATGAGAGGCGAACAGCCGGCCTTGGCGCGCTCGCACACAGAGCGGCAGGGCGGCAGAGGCTTGTGGTAGTCGGGCAAGCAGATGGGCGTGTACATAGAGCACAGGAAGAAGCGAAGGTCCGGCGAGCAGTGGATCTCCACCAAGGGCCAGAACTGGTGCACCTCCAGACCCGCCTCGTCCTGCGTGTCGTGGTTGAACTGGTTGGGCATGTGCGTCAAGTTGTAGCCTATGCCGCGGCACATGGGCACCGTGATCTCCTGGCACAGCGGGGCCTTGGAGGCGGCCGCTGCCCGGCCCGCCAACTGCGCCAGGAGCAGCAGCAGCAGCGGGGGCGGTGCGGACGGGTCAGGCCGAGCCATCGCCCAGTCCTTCCCCACGCCTCCTTAAGCGGAGTTCACTCAGGCAGGAGAGCCGAGCTGACGCTTCCCGATCTAAGTGGTGTGCGGCGTCCGGGCTGGCAACCTGTTGGTTTCTATTTCTTTCGAGCAAATCCGTCCAAAGATAAATTATTTCGAGAAAGCACTGCCACCACCCGCAGAGTTTAACGTCTGGCCGGATCGGGCTTGGGGGAAGGAGTAGGGCTCCAATTCCAGGGAAAGAACCCTTAAAAAAAAAAGAAAAAGAAAAACCAAAAAAAAAGTGTGTGTGGGGAGTGGGAGAGTGGGATTGTAATCACTGTCAGTGGCGTCAACAGCTCGGTCCCCACAAGCGATCTCCAGATCTCTACGTTAACCTCTCTCCCCGAGCCTCCACTCTTAGGAACGACTTGACCTCCCTCCCCTGCTGGCGGGGCCCTTCAGGCTGTATCTCGGGGTCAAAGCGTTCAGTACCCCGGTAAAGGGTGGAGACATCAAGAGAAGAATAGGGTTAGGGGAGACGCGGGCTCTCACCTCTATGAGTTGCCGAGAGAAGTCGACAGTCGGCAGCCAGTCGAAGCCCTGCGTCCTCCGTCCCTGGGTTACTCCGTTCAGAAACGCAACTCAGAGCCAAACCCGCGCCGAGAAAGTTTGGCAGCAGGCTGGGTCTCCGTGGAGGCACATGGCAACAGGTGGGGGCGTATCAGAGCGGGGGGCGCCCCCTGAACGCAGTCGGCCCCGGTCGGTCACTCGCCCTCTCCTCCTCCGAGGCCCCCCGCATGATCCGGGAGGGGAAGGTCAGGCGCAGGCCAAGCGTTCCACCGGTCCGGGAGCCGGACGCAGGTTGAGCGCACCAAACAGCACCTGGAAGGGAGGAAGGTGGGGTGCGGCGGACCGAAGATCCCGCAGCCTCACAGCTCTGTGAACACCGGGCGCTGGCCCCACCGGGGCTGCATGGTATGAGCCGGCCGGCCGATCGCCTCCTCCCCTGCAGGGGGCTCTGCGCTTCAGCCGACTTCTGGGGGCGGTGGCTCTGCTCCCGGGACGCGCCCGACTTGGCTCCTCCCCCGTGCTCTGGCACCCTTGCGCCCACCTCCGGCAAGTACTGTTGAGCTTAAGGCGGCCGTGGCAGCAGCGGAGTCAGGGCCGCCGGCGGACTGGACTCTCGTATCCTGCCCGGGTCACCTGCCTCTAATGCCCGCCGGGAGACCCCGCCCCAGCCCCGCCCCCTCGCGCAGGAGCTCGGTTGGTGGCCGCCCCGCCACGCTCTCCGCGCGTCCCCGCCCACTGCCCTGCGGGCTCGGCCTCGCCCCAGCCGCCCTGCGGCCTTATCCTAAGCGGACGAGGAGCGATGGCCAATTGCAGGCCGGAGAGAGATGGGGGCGGAGCGAATGCTAATCCCTCCGTCTTGAGAACTCCGGCGGGAAACCCTCTCAACTAGTGCCTCCAGAACGATCTGTCGGCCTGTTCGCGGCCCACTTTCTTCGGTGTTCTGACTTCCAAAACTTTACTCCTGGGTCTTCTAGTAGGTCTCCCGTCTGCAGCTAAACATCGTTACAGAGTCCTGCCCTGAGTTTGTTTAAAGGAACTGCCCAAAGAACCATTGTTAGGCACGGCACCTGTCTCCCTCTGCGCTGTCCTTGTACCGAATGAGCTGACTGACGTCTGGAGAGGAGCCAATACTGCGTGCGGGACAGTGGGTGCGAATCCTTCAGGATGGGCACGAAGGGCTCACGACTTCATCTTAATGCAAGATCTCACATCCTTACAACAATCCTAGGAGACAGGTATCTTTTACAGGTGAAGAGCCCCATGTTTAAAAACTTTAATCTTGTTCACAGCCGTATTCCTAGTATTTGAGCCTAAACTGCAAACCTGGGACCCCAGCTACGATCTTAGTCTTATTCGGCATCCCCAGTCATAGCGATATTTCCCAGACTTCAATCTTTACTGTTGCATTTCGTAACAAAATCCTACTGTGTGACAAGAAACTAGTTTTCTTTTTGCCTTTGAAAAGAATTCAAAAGAAGTTAGTCCTTAATCAGAGGAGATTTCTGGTGCCAGGCAGTTCCGAAGTCGTCCACCAAGAGAAGCAGCAGCCATTCGTGGCTCTGTAGCCGGCAGGGCGCCGGGCCCAGGGCTGCCGGAGGCACATGGTGCAGCCAGGCTGGCGGAGGACCTGCTGGGCGTCCACACGCAGGGACACGCAGGAACCGTTTCTCACATGGGTTACTATACAGCACATTTTCAAGGTACTAAAAAATGCTTCTTATCTGCACGTTCTAATTACGTTGGGAGACCCGGGTGTTTCGCATACTTGAGATTCATTCATGAGCATACAAAGGGGGTTGGAATTATTTCCCCAGTCCTCCTTCCGCCTTCCCCTAGGATGAAGGCAAAAATAAGCAGGAGGCCCTGGGAAGATGGACTAAAGCACTAAACACGACAGCGGGTTGTTGTCGATCTTCTCTCCTCGATCCCATTTGCTTATATACTGGGACACTAAATTGTCTTCCTCTCTCCTGCTTGGTGGGAAATGATGAAAATCCTATGTATTAATCCCAGACTGAAATATTAAAGGAAGAAATATCACTAGGTTCACAGACATTAAAACTATCAATAAATGTTTAAAAGGTCCATCACATCTTTCACTCACTGTAATTCTACAGGTGTTCATATTGAAATGTTGATCCTCTGAGATGAAAGTCCTGGGAACTAAAAAGCTATGGGATGGTAGTCAACAAGCAAGGGGCACCTTTAGTGGAAAGTATGTGCAGGCTGTGAACATGCCAAGGGATGCCTGTCTCATTCTGTGCCCTTTATGCAACGTGTGTATTACTGGGGCTGGACAAATGTTGGCTAATAATAAAAATTATTTGAAGTTGGAGAATGTTAATCATCCACACTGGAATTTAGACAGAATAGTTGTGTTATTTCATTTGGTTCAGAGTCAAATGATGTATGTATGTGTATCTATACCTATTTGTCTACCTATGTATACATGAGAGACTCTTCAAAAGCTCATGGAAAAGTGAAACTTAAAGAGAATGGAATTTTTCAAAGAACATTTTGAAGCCACACACAGCCATACACACCCAAACACAAAGGGGATTTAAAAACAGTTTAGATATAAGTATATATACATATAAGGAGCTCTGGTAGCGTAGTGGTTACGAATCGGGCTGCAATCCGCAAGGTCAGCAGTTCGAAACTACCAGTTGTTCTGTGAAAGATAGATAAGACTTTCTGCTCTTGTAAAGATTTACAGCCTCGGAAACCCTGTAGAGGGTCACTATGAGTCAGAACCAACTCCACAGCACATAGCAACAACAACAACGTATATACATATAACCCAGCATATATAGGGTTTCTGGGAAGCACCTGGTGGGTTTGAACCACTGACCCTGTGGTTCACAGTCCAGTGCTTATCCTACAGCACCACACCAGAATAGTGAGAGAGAAAGAAAGAGAGTCCAGCACACCACCAGGAGTCTTTTTCTCTTTCTTTCTCTCTCACTCTCTCAGTTCTGGTGTGGCAGGTAGGATAAAGCGCTGGACTGGAAAGTCAGTTTGAACCTCAAGATTGGCGGTTCAAACCCACTAACTATTCCTCGGAAATCCTAGATAGGGTCATTATAAGCTGGAACAAACTTAATGGCACTAACAATTATATATATCTGTATATGTTATTGTTAGGTGCCATTCAATTTGTACCGACTCATAGCACCATATGCACAACAAAACAAACAACTGTTCAGTCCTGGGTCAACTTCACAATTATTGCTACATTTGAGCCCATTGCTGCTGCCACTGTGTTAATCCATTTCGTTGCGGGTGTTCCTCTTTTTCTCTGACTCTCCACTTTACCAAACATGATTTCCTTCTCCAGGGGCTGGTCACTTCTGATAATATGTCCAAAGTATGAGAGACAAAGCCTGGCCATCCTGGCTTCCAAGGAATATGCTATGGCTGTACTTCTTCCAACACAAATCTATTTGTGTTTGTTTTTTTTGTTTTTTTTCAGTCCATAGTACTTTCAATATTCTCCTCCAACACCATAATTCAAATGCATTAATTTTTCTATAGTCTTCCTTGTTCACTGTCCAAGTGTCACATGAATATAAGGTTACTGAAAATACCATGGTTTGGGTCAGATGTCCTTAAACTGACTTCTTTGCTCTTGAACATTTTAAAGAGGTCTTGTGCAGCAGATTTGCTTTATGCAATATGTCATTTGATTTCTTGACTGCTGCTTCCATGAGTGTTGATGGTTGATCTAAGCAAAATGAAATCTTTGACAACTTCAATCTTTTCCCCATTTATATGGATGTTTTGTATTGATCCAATGGTGAGGATTTTTGTTTTCTTTACATTTAGCTGCAACCTATACTGAAGGCTATGGTCTTTGATCTTCATCAGTGAGTATTTTAAGTCCTCTTCACCTTCAGCAAGCATGGTTGTATCATTGGCATATCTCAGGTTGTTAGTGAGTTTTACCCCAATCCTGATGCCACATTTTTCTTCATATAAAATACAGCTTCTCAGATTATTGCTCAGCATATAGATTGAAAAAGTATGGTGAAAGGATACAACCCTGGCGCATTCCTTTCCCAATTTTAAACCATTCGATATTCCCTGGTTCTGTTTCAACAACTGCTTCTTAGTCAATGTACAGGTTCCTCATGAGCTCAATTAAGTATTCTGGGAATACTCATTCTTAGCAATGTTGTCCATAGCTTGTCATGATCCACACAATCAAAAGCTTTTGCTAGTCAATAAAAGATAGGTAAACATATTTCTGGTATTCTCTGCTTCCAGTCAAGATCCATCTGACGTCAGCAATGATATCCCTCATTCCAAGTCCTCTTCTGAATGCGGCTTGAACCTCTGGAAGTTCTCTGTCAATGTAGTGTTGCGGTCGTTTTTGTATTATCTTTAGCAAAGATTTACTTATGTGTGATATTAATGGTATTGTCCAATGATTCCCACATTCTGTTGGGTCACCTCTTTTTGAAAGGGCACAAATATATGGATCTTTTCCAGTCAGTTAGTCAGGTAGTTGTTGTCTTCCATATTTCTTGGCATAGATGAGTGAGTGCCTTGAGTGTCACATCACCTTGTTGAAAGATTTCAATTTATAGTCCATCGATTCCTGGTGCATTGTTCTTTGCCAATGCTTTTAATGTACCTTGGACTTCTTCCCTCAGTATCATTGGCTGTTGATTATATGGTACCTTTTGAAAT